TGTTCACGTGACAATTGCCTTTTATGTCTTCACGGCTAGAAGGTTTCAAACATTCGGATTGATTTGACATGGTATTTTTAATTAAGGTTTCTGTTTATATTCTGAGCATGAGCCCAAAGGGCAACGTTCACGCTGGCTCAACCGAATTTCAGCAGTAGTAGATATCCTTGTGAAAGAGTTAATCCAAGGAAGTACTGCCACCTATTTCTATCGCCAAGCGGTAAAGTAAGCATTACTGCGTTCCAGTTGTGAAGGATAAAGGTGCCGTCCGTCACCCAGGAACATAACTTGACAAGTATGGGACGTGCCTGTAATTTCATCAACAAAATTTCACGAAAATAATTTCTCCCTAACATCGGAACGCAATAATGCTTGGCAAATGGCAAAATAGGTGAGGTAAGGGTGGCAGTGTCCCTCAGATTTTTGCGATTTAAACCTCTGTGTGGCACCGAAACTGTGGATAGGCCTGTCGCTTATCACCAGGCATAAAAGAATTATGTAAGGGAAATGCAGTAATTGTATTTTTTTAGAAAAGGAGTTGGCAATATTTAAACATTTCTCTATTTCATCCTAAGTACATGTTCTGCAACCAGTTAGTCCCGTCAGTTTGTATAAAAAAAAACTCTACGTAAAATATTGGTATGGCGAATTGTGCAACGCCTCTGGTAGTGACAAGTATAACTGTTTATCATGATTTATGCGTCCGCGTTGCGAGTTACAAAAGACATTTCTACATTGTAATTTACAGCGACAATACGAGAAATTATTTCTGAAATTATTTAATCATATTGAAATACATAATGATGCACGTATAAGGCACTTGGTATTTTTAGCCTCCGGAAAACGTCAATTTGCGAAATGTTGTTATTATTATTGTGTTGTGGAATACATTACAGTAAAACGCATTATAATTAGAGTTGCAACTTCACTTTTCGGTATTTGCCTTATTCGGTCTATTTTTTGAATACCTAAAAATAGAAGAAAGAAATAAGAAATTATCATGTAACTTTTATTAATGCTGAAAATATAGGATAAATTATCGAAAGCACAATTTTCCGCTTCTTTATCTAAAGGAAAATGCAACACTAGTCTTACGTACGTCTTAAACCAATACTTAAATTGATAAGACACTCTTAACACAATGTATTAAGAGTGTCGTTTGCATTGCAAGCTTTGGTTTAAGACGTGCTTAATTTTAATGCAAGTGGACTTAAGTTATTTTTCTAAGAGATCGAGAAAAGCAATATATCAACCACTTATTTATTATGTAGTTTCCTTATGACTAAATAAACGCTAACAAAATCAACCACCAAGTTTTGGAAGATAATCAAACTGAAGTGAAAGAAGCAATTATTTTCTTCGGTAACTCATAAATTTATTATATACTTAAAAGTTAAAATACTTTCTTTGTTTTATTTTACAAAATTATTTATTATCAACTTTCGTACGTGCGTCTGATTGACGCACGTACGTTTAGTCAAATATTCGGCTGTTCGGGCTCACCTCTGGCCGAATACCCGGTATTCGGTCTATTTATTGCAACCTTAATTATAATTTATTTCCCTAAATTTGTAAATGTTAAAGTTCATAGTATTTCTTTAAACTGCAAAAAAAGAAACTCCCTGATACCACGTTTACTTACAAAAGATGTTGTTCTAACGAAAACCTACGAAAATTTACAGAGTATTTAGGCTCTCCTTTTCTGACATATACAAACACAAGTCCTTGAACAAAGCGTTTGATATTTTACGATCTTTTTTACCTTCTATACCAACTTTGTTTTCCAATAATAAAACTGAAAAATAAATTAACATACAAATCAGGGTGGGTAACGAAAGGACTAATTAAAAGCTGTACAAGAAACAGAAAACTTTGTTATTATGTAGTAGTTACTACACGCAAAAAACAGTAAACAACGTCTTTTAAATATACAAGCCACAACACTTTAACATTGCACTACTATCTGTCGTCACGACATAATGGGAATGCGCCCTTACGCGGATTTCGCTTAATATTAAAAGTGATACTTAATAAGATATAAAACAACCGATTAGAGGGGTTTGTAGATCTCATTTAGTTGATCCTAGATATGTTAATCACTAAATTTCGCAAAAATTCGATTAAGGTAGTTATGATAAGGAGGGCCAATGTTTAATTAAAGTACTTTCCCACCGTGTCCCATAGCCGTAGACGTGTCCTGTATATGTATTTGGATGGCAGGCAGCTTTGATACCGAACAAGGAATATCTTTAGGTTAAAATCAAAAGAGTCGTTCCGTTTGACGTCACGTCCATTCAGAACGAGACTGACTTGAAAAGATACAAATGTTACGAAGCAAAGCTTCATAATTTACATTGAATAGAGAAAGGACACTTTAATACAAATTACTTGATACGGGGATCAAAAGGATATCTATCTCGAAAAGATAATAAAGGAAAATTACCGGAACATTCGTACAACTCGTACACTCGTACATTCGTACAGTCATCATTAGTAATTACATTTTATTAACGACAAACTTTAATATCCTAATAACCCCTATTTAGGGGTAGTTTTGATGAAATGTCTAGGCCGTGATTATGTGAAGCTCGTGGTAGCATTAGCGCAGGCCACACCGCGAACCCCCCGACTGGGTTCATGTATTGTCGTGGCGGGGGGCTCTAGTAGCCGTGGACGATTTCATTTCATGGTGAAATTAAGAGGTACCCACGGGCCGGCCGATGGAGCTATCCCAAGCGGAGCGGCCCAAGGAGGAGGGCGTATCACGCGGGCTTGTCTAAGTCTAGGGCGAGCGGGTCCGCGCAGACGCATTCCGCCGCGGGGAGGAAGGGTTGCGGGGGAAGAGACGTGTCGGTGTGTCGTTGCCGGTCGTCCTGTCCTCCGCGACTCTGGCGGCGTAGCCCCCGCTTAGGGTGTAGGTGCAGTGGCGGTGGGGCTGCGGGGGAAGACACGTGTCGGTGCTGCTCGTCCTGTTCTCCGCTGCCGAATTTGGGCGATTGTCCCGTGCGGTGGGCGCTCCAAGGGTCTCTCTTCGGAGAGTCCACACGGATGCATGTAGGGTGTTGCGGCGGAGCCTACCAACAGATCCACCGCGGGGCTGCGAGAGTATCCTCTGAACTTCACGCCCATGGCTCCTGGGTAGCGAACACGGGGGAGTTCGTCCAGCATGGAGGGGCCCGAGATGGAAAGCCGTCTGGTGTTCGGTGAGCCTTACATTTGAAGTCGGGGGACCGTTGTATCTCTCTTCTCGGGGAGGGGCTGCGCTCGGCGCGGCCAGCTGTTGGTGGAGGCGAACGATAGCGTAACCGTGCCTTCACCTGCAGCGGAGAGGAGGAACACCCCGGGAGTTTGGCGTGGTCGGGCTGCTCCCGTTCAGGGTTCAGCTCAGTCCCACATAACCCCGGCTCTGCCCCCGTAGGGTGGGGGTATCTGTAAGCAGATTCCGTCAAGTAATAAAAAAAGGACACGCGCGCATGCAAAGCTAAGCTTAGAAAATATAGTGACTATGGATACGTGTGGGGGTCAAGAGCGGCAGCAGAGCGACATATATTTTACATAGTATTGGGTTAGTTTAGTTAGCTCGGTTTGCTTAGTTCGCGGTGTGAACCGAAGTACGGAAAGAAGTTCCGGCGACGTGACCTAAGCCAAGTTAGCTTAGCTTCTCTCGCGGTGTGGCCTGCGTATCTAGCAAAGGTTGTGAATTCGAATCCGGGCTTGCTTCTTTGAGAATTTAAAATTTAATTTGAAATTTACAACACACAATAAAATACAGCCTTATTGAAAATCTCGTCCTATTTCCAGGTTGCTTAAAAAGTCTAGAGCAATGTAAGTAGATTCATAAGCTAAACCAAAATAAACGAAGCTAAAGCTTGAAATGCATGTTATTAGTGTATTTAATTTACATAGATAAATAAAACTGGTATTGTTGTTGCATACCATTATGCAAAATAATTCATAATTTCGCTAGAATAAAATAAAAAACCTAAATGACTCTGCGCATGCAACAATAAAAAATAAGATCTCTGATCTTGATGTTGCTTAGTAAATGATTATTCACTCTAACATTGACAACGGCCAACTCATAATTTGTTAGGGAACAGATCAGCAGGCGAAGAATTTTTAACCGTTACTATAAGCATTAGGAATGAATGCAAACGCATAATGACAATTGTGATCCAATAGAAATAGTAAAATAAATAGATGAAACTAATTTTTCGTATCTAAAATCATCCGTGACCATGGGGTCTAAAACGTTTCTTTGCTAGAAACAACAAATAGCTTCACAGTAGATGTGTAGGGTCTGTCTGAGCAATTGTAGGATGTCCAGGGGAGTCGTCTTCTCGCGTCAGAGGTTTAATGATTTAGAGGTTTGAAATTCTGTCAGCTCGCTGGTCATCTATGGAGGTTGGATGCGACAAGAACTTTGAAACCTAATAATGTACTATGCTTTAATCTGTGATATGGCAGTAGACTAGACGTAGTAGTACTTGTGAAAGAGTTCGTCCAGGAAAATACGTACCTAATTCTGCCGCCAAACAGTAATGTGGTACTTATTTTAGGATCAGAGCAACATGTGATGTTCTCTAATACTTATTTATTTTTATTTAATATATATCACTCTTCAAAGAAGGACTATTAACCCAAGAACAGTCCTGAATTGTCACGGATCTGTTTATACTAGTACATTTGTGAAGTACAACAACAAAAAACCGTCTCACATAAAAAGAAAATCAATCGAACCATTCATTAATAGTGCTTGTCGTGCTACAGTGCAGAAAGACAAACACTACAGTGACTAACGCTTTACGTTAAATTTGCGACAGAGCTCTTTTTGCTAAAACTACCGGATACACGGTTGATGTTTAACTTGCATAAGGTAAGTCCCCGTGTGTAGCCATGGGCGTGTATGCTAAGAAAAACCGTACGCGCCGAGTAAGTCGTCTGCAAAGGGTTTGGCTGGGTAGGCTTGATTCAAACGACAAAAACCAAATGACACTTACCTCTTTAACAATAGAATGACTTTCCAAATACAAAAAGGACTCGCATGTAATCACATTGGAAGGGTCGTAGTGATTAGGCAAGCAGGTGTCGTTCAAGTCTAACGTGTAGTTGTCGAACCGTGGGTATCGTAGGCATTTGGACGGTTTGCCGTCGATGTGCGGTATGGTGTAGTTGAGTGATGTTTCGTTCTCGCATTCCGGGATTGAACATCTGGAAAGAGATTGGCGATTGTAAAAAATATCCCGTCTAAGATTGAACTTGTAGAAACAATGGCTCAACGAAACAGCCTACTCGTTCCACAGAGTTCGTAATAAATACGATAATATTTTTGACTGGCAAATGTCGGAGGAGACAAATGAAAACAATACGAAAGCTTTAAAATTTCTTTATTAAGCATTGTTTTTGACCACCTAAGTACTTTTATACGGCATGTATTTAAATGATCTTTTTAAATTTGCAAAAACGACGTACAGAAAAATTAAAACAGTCATCTTTCGAGTTCTTAGGTTTTCGCGATTGTTACACATAGGAAATGAAACTATTTTTCCGGATTTAAATCGCGTATATTTGTTTTTTCAAACAAACCGACTTTGACTTCACGGTTGACTGTGACCAAGGGACCTGTAAAGGGCCCGAAACGTCGGTTTGTTTGAAAAAACAAATATACGCGATTTAAATCCGGAAAAATAGTTTCATTTTTTTACATGTTTTTTTATTTTAGTGACGAGACAAACAAGTCTGGTAGTAAGCGACACGCCTGTCCATAATAGTTGCAATGCCACTCAGAGCTTTAAATTGTAAAGATTAGTGGGACACTGCTACTGCGTCTGTCACCCTGAGACATAAGTTGACAAGTTCCATGTGTCTGTAATTTCACGCAAAAAATGTTTGATTTGTATAAATTAACTTTAATAGTTTTATGTTGGGCCTCGAAACTATGACAAATGAGCAGTAAAAATAAAATTTAGATACTTATTTTTTAAGCTAAGTAAATGTTGATTATGTGTGTGTACTAATATTATATTAATTACAATATAATTTGACCTGAAAAAATGTTTGGAAACGCAAGCAAATTGGCTTCTGGCACTCACAGGCCGCTGCCGCGTCACGTTCTGCTTTTTCAAGGGGAGCAACCTGACCGCACTAAACTCCCTTAGAGTGTGGAGGGTGCAACCAAGCAACCAAGATTTATTAGGAGATAGATACATAAGATATACTGGTTATAAATGTCATAAGTCGTTAAAAGGAAAGACCAATGATAAAAAAGAGCATCAAATATTATTTTTGAATAACAAATATTAACTTATTTGAATGCAGTTCATTTACAATTTATCCGTGGAGCAACTAATAATTATATACACAAAAATATAAATATCGTGCACCAATTTAAAATAGTTCACATTTACAACAGATCAAATATTTCTTTAAGGATTAAATAGTATTATACCCTTTTGTGAAACATGATTTATGAAATTTGTGTTATAAGTTTGTGTTGTAATGTTATAAGGAAAATTAGGCACTACAATTGGGAACACTGCCGACACTTTGAGTACATTTCGTTGGTTTAATTTAGTTCTAGTACATATTTGTTTCTTTACTTTGGTCAGTGATAATATCATTTATTTAATAAATAAATAATAATAACAACAACAATCAGGAATGTGAGTATTACTACTGCATTCTGGTTTTGAAATGTGACGGTGCTGCTGAAACTGCGAATTTTTTATTGAACAATTTTCTTTATTGAATATATACGATTATTAATATCCCTTTAACATTGGATTTTGCATTGATACTATTAATATATTCGGTGTTTACCTGTATAACTTTTTTTAAATTCATTCATTCATGATTCATTCCGGTAAAGACATGGCTCATAATCTGACCCGGTTGATGGATGTTAGCGTACAAAACCCTTTTATTTTTATGTAAATAAAATCTCGAAAATGCCCGTACATTGCTTACGTTAAGATGTAAGAGGGCAATAAAATTTTGATATTTAACATATTTTTAATTGCGTGGAAACCCTAGGTTATGGTCAAACTTTCTGTCTAAACAAATAGGTACCATTACAGTCGCGCGCGAACCCTGAGTGGTCAGTTGTGGTAAGAATAAGACTGAAATCTTTCGTTCTCTGGGTGATCAATAATACATACAAAACAAATATTTTGTATGTTATAATACATTTATAAAAAAATACATTTTTTATCCCATAATTCCCAGTACTCACAGTAAGATTTACTGGATGACAGCCATATATCATTTCTGTACACCATGGGTATGATGTGTATACTTTGGCGGGCCATGATCTGTGTACCTGTCGGAGTTTTGATTTGTTAGGCAGGTATTTAAGTTTGTCACTCAATCAAGGTATACCGGAAGAGCGTCGGAGATACACCAGTTAATATGGGAATTATAGCGGCCCGGGAACAATATGAAACAGATACATCGCGACGTGACACCGATTCGTGTAACAATGGTTCTAATCCAAGGTTATTTGCGAATTACGATTGCTTTCCTAAACATTATTATTTAAATCCACTTTACCAGGCAGTAGGTACTGTAGATTCAACAGGCATTACGTATTTTATTGAGTTTGGTTGTGGATTCCTTCACTTGATATGACACGATGTTTGTATTTCATTTGATTGATTGAGTAAAGAATAAATAAAAAAAAATTAATAAAAATCGTTTTTACTGTTTTCAAAAAAGAACGCTTTTCCATTTGAATTTCAAAGCCCACCAAAAAGCAGGGCAGTTTCTTTGCGAAAACATAATAATCATGATTACTATTTAAGTTATTTTATAATTATATTATTATAAGATTAAAATTACTTAAGTGCCACAATGAATAGCATTCAACAATATTGGAGATTTCGTAAAAAAGTGACTATTTATTTGCTTTTTTTTTAAACTGGACACAGGATTGTACTTTTACGACTATTAGCATTTTATTGGGCTGTATGAATATAGAAGACAAATTAATTCGAAAGTGGCTATGATAATGGCGCAAGGCAGAATACAGTGTTTTAAAGTGGTTTCAGAGTGGCGGGGGGCGCGGGCGCAGAACCGCCGCCGCCGCCACTCTTAAATAAGTAAAGTCCAAGACAACCACCAAAGTTCGCGCTATGCAGCCCGACGTTGTCCCACTCAGCCTCTCTCTGCCTTTCTAAAAAATTATACTATGTTGTCGAAAAGCTAAGGAACACTTTGTGTTGCCCGTGGCGACACAAGCTGCCAGCCTTCGGGCATATGCTTTTTGACACGTTTTATAGTTTTTATTCCTTTTGAATTTGTATTCTTCTTGACGTTATGTTTTTTGATATTCAGTTGTTGTCATTGAAATATAGCTGGAGGAATACGTTTCCAAAAATCCCAAAGGATTCTTTAATTATTTCGCCCTTTTTTCTCTTCTTAAAATTACTTAGGCAAGTGTCTCGCCAACAGACAGGATGCGCCTTTTGATATAAGAAATGCTTTATTTAATAGAGAATATCTTTTACAGGATTATATATCGCACTTTATAAAATGCGCCTGTCGCCGCTTGCTGCATTTAATTTTTGCGTTTTTGTTTAAAAAAACTTTATCATGTGGAACATAAAGTTTATATTGCATTGCTCATTTTAATGCATCGTCATGGATGCCTGGCTGCGGTAATTTGAGGCGACCCTAAGGAATGCAAAGATCGCGCAACTTTTAAGCCAATTTTTCTGTAATTGAAAAAGGTATTTGATTTCTCGACTTTTCGAGCATAGTTTTCTTGTCTCGATGATTTATCTAGATTTCTCTAGTTGAGAAAGTGTTAAATGTATGGAAAAAAAATTCAATTGTAAAATTTTACGCCCGCAAATGAGCAGAACTGTGAACAACAAAAATATTTTTGGGCAAACATGCAGCACTGTGAAGATAGAAATACTGCTAAGGTACATTCCGCTTCGTCTATTCAACAAAATTATTATTCAGAAGTAAATATAACGTTTCCCTAGTCTGTACTAGGGAAACCTTATATTTATTTATTTTATAACCCTGTGGCTATGAGTGTGTGCGTTATTAAATATCTACACTTCCGTACATCCGCTGATCAGCCAACAACAAAACAATCTCAGGTAACAGCGAGAATACCGCCATTTGCAAAATAAACAAAAATAGCAAGTCTGCTATTTAAAAATGCCACTTCCACATTGTTGCTTTCTTAACTTTTTTATTTAAATAACGCACACACTCAACATAGCCCCGCACTAGGGAAACCCTGTGTCGCGGGTGCCATGGACACATACACAGGCAACCACAAATTACACCCAAACTCACGAGAGAAATAATTGTAGGCCATACAATTATTTCTCTCGGCCCGGGAATCGAACCTGGGACCTCTGCGTGGCAGTCCGGCATGGTAACCGTTCGGCCACGGAGGCAGTATTTCTTTAGTTAGTTACAGTTAGTTTAGTTATAAATGGCGTTTATTTTTTTCAACGCACACACTCTTAGCCCTAATGAAAGGAAACCTTGTATCGATGGTGCCATGGAGACATACATAGACAACTACAAATTACACCCAAACTCTCGAGAAAAATAAATGTAGGCCCTTAGAATAATAACGCATAGAATGATAGTTTCATATCACACTGTGCACTGTGAACTGTCACAAGTGAGGCAAAAATCAAATTCATGTAGGCTAGTTTTAGTAGTAGGTTTTAGTGAATATTTACATAAAAATGCAAGTTGAAACGCGTTACTTCCTTGTGGAATGTGATGTTAGTACCTATTTTATGTTTCTCTGACGTATTTTTACACTAATTTACAGCACATTTCGTCATTTTTAGCTAAAATTCTTGAGCTGTTCGCGGTGCAAGTTGACCTTGAGCACTGACGTCCCGCCCGCTCGTGTAGGCCCATTGGGAGCGCTTCAATTTGCCTCATTTAGCGTGTGCGGACTAGGTTTTTATGCGTTATTATTCTAAGTGTAGGCCATACAAATATTTCTTCCGGCCCGGGAATTGAACCAGGGACCTCCACGATGCAGACCAGCATGGTAACCGTTCGGCCACCGAGGCAGTTTATTACACCTTTTCGGTTACGCTACATACGGTAATTTACTTATTTTTACTGAAAACATTTGAATTTAATTAACTCTTTGTACAATGTACTTTGTAACGTTAAATTTCCATGTCATTTAATTAGTTTTCTCTACAAGGGATGTAACAAAAAGTACC